TATATATATTTATATATATGTTTTCCTAAAAAGCCTCTGTTGCTCAAGTCAACTCTTGCAGCTGGCATCAAACTGACCCAGGGACCCCACATCATACATCCCCTTGCAGAAACACAGAAAAGCAGCAGCGCTTCTGGAGCAGCCTCCAAGCAGCGCCTGCCTATGTAAGGAGCTATTTGGGGCCAGTCCTGCTGGGGCCTGCCCTTCAGTTTAAGAAAACTCATCTCAAGAGAAGTTACCCAAACAAGCAGAGTCACGTGTCCCCCTCATCCAGATGAATTCAGGCACATTTCAACACATCACACCCTGAAGCGGCCACCTGAATGAAGCATTGCCCCAGGCTAGCAGATGACTAACTTGGGGAACAGAAAAACTAATGCTAAAAAAATCTTGGGCTCACCTTGCTGCAGCTCATGATTCAACCCCCAGAATCCCCAGTTTGCTGTTTCAAACCCACAGCGATTAATAGTCAGCTGGCTGCAAGGGCAGAGCCTTGCTGGGGAGGTCCGCCAAGGCACAGGGCAGCGAGCAAACCTGGCTGGGGTGGAGGGTGGACTCAGCGCAGGACAGCAGAGCACCAACCCTCAGGATAGGGATGCTGGCTGCCTGTACCCCAGTGGGCTGCGACACGTGGCAATGAAGGGACAACATTAGGTGGCCGAAGTATCATCTTTTAGATGCTCCAATTGCATGTGTGAAGAGGGCGAGGCGAGCCATTCCAGCAAACTCCAGCTGAGCTTCCCATGCGCAGCTTCTGATGAGCAACGCAACCACAACCTCTGAGCTGCAGCCAGCCCTGAAAGCCCAAGAGATCCCCAGGGGGACACCCTGTGGGTCTCCTCACCCAACCGTGCCCTGGAGCGCTCCATCCCAAAGCCCACGCACTGGAATGAGCCTGGGCAGGAGGACAGCCTATTCCTGGCCCCAGCATCGCACTGGTTTGGAGGTTTCTCTGCAATTTTCTTCCCAAGCAGTTGCTTGCAGGCTTTGGCGCTGCCAAGCATCCTGACAAACACAACGAAGCATTACTTACGTTGCTTGAAAACATCCAGGGATCTCTTCAGCGTGCTGAAAAACAGGCAGAGCATTAAAAAAAGTGGGAAAGCATGGCCAGGTGTAGGCATCAGCAGAGCACCTCTCCTAAAGCAGATAGCAAGTCCCTCACTCAACGTTGGCCAAAGCGGCTCGAAGCAGGTTTATTTACCCTCTTTAAACTTCTGGCTTTTTCCCCCTCTCAGTGAGTGTAACACGTGGAGACCCACTCACAGAGCCGGCCACAGCACCCCTGCAGGGTGGTAACACACTGAGCTTTGAAGATTTGCATGCCTTGGGTCAAGGAAGTACCTGTACTTCCCTCTAGCCACAAAACCAGTCAGGAGCAGATCCAAGGTCTCCTGATCCTCCTCCCTCTGCTGACCCGCCAGCCCACATCCCGCCTGAGCATCTATGATGCTTTGGTTAGCCTACAGCTGGTGGAAACTTGGTGGAGTCGAACTCATTTATTAGCCAAGACCAACCCAGCCGTGCACCATTCATTCACAAGACCGATGTTAGATCATTTTCTGGTAGCATTCGAATCACATTTCAACACTGTTTTGTCTCTCACAGACTCCTTCCTTCTCCTCCTTCATTGCTCCAAGTAAGAACACCCATAAAAGCAAAACACGCATAGTTCTGTGAACTTACTTCAGCTCTGTCTGCCCACAGGGCTTCTTCTTCGACAAGTTAATGAGCTCTTTGCCGTATTTTTCTTCTATAATTGCCCTATTGAGGAAAGAGAGAAATGAGAGGAAGTTCTAATTTCAGAAACTGATACTTGTTCGCAGCAGAGGCCAAGATTTGCTCTTAACACCCTCCCTATCTTCTGACCTGTGGTAAAGCAGCTGTGTACAGTTGGCTGAAGGAAGACTGTTGTTTGCAGTTACCCAACAGCCCTTCCAGTGAAAACACTTTGTTTTGCTGTGGCTGTGGTCCCCACGCATCGACCTCCCCATCTCCCCATGGCTGATGGCTGCAAGGACCACCTCCCCAGGAGAGGGAGGACTGAGCAGTGCAACTGGTGGCCAGATGCAGCCAGGCACGTCACCCAAGTAGCTTTTTAGCTCCGTCTCTTGTGGGAACAAGGCTTGTGCGATCACACATTGTCTGCATCTCAGCCACCAGCATCTGTCAGTCCATCCACACAAAGTACTTTTGAATCTGATTTGGCTGATTTAAACTAAATGTGACAGAAGGGAGTAGCACCTCAAAGACCACTCAGCCACCACACACCCACCCCAAAGCTCAGCTGGGCCATTTCAGCTCTTCAGGACTTTTTAAAATGAGGCAACTGGTACTCTGGTCCTTAGGGAGAACACCTGAAGAAGAGGCCACAGCTGGTGAGATGACATAAATAACACCTTTGAGAGATTGTATTGTCCTCCCCGCTTAGAAGAAAGAGGAGTGGGGGAAGAAAGCCTATGTGTTGCAGTCTAAGAACAACCAGCTTTCCGCAGGTGTTTTGAAATCTGTACAGACAACCAGGGATGGACCTGCTTGGTCAAATGTAGTTATCTCCACCTGGGCAAGCCACCCTAGCTGTCTGCAGTCAGTAGGGAGAAACATGTACTGCTAGAGGCTCACATTAGAAGGTCTACCGGATAAAAAAAATAACTTCCTAAAATGCCTGTATCTCTAAGGCAGATGCAGATGCCTATCTTGTTGGTTTCTAGAGTTTGGCAGTGGGGTTCACCTAACTTCACTCTTTAAAAACTCCAAAAGCTTGTAAGGAAATCGAAAAAATAAAGATTATACTTTTTTTTTTCCCCCCCTTATCTAACAATATTCCCATGAACTTCCTTCTGAGACAAAGCACCAAACCTAACAGGCACGTTCTGCATGGCTGGGACCATGTAACAGAACTGGGACATGTTCAGAGGGGTGCCAGTAGCCAGTCCAGGTCCAGCCTCTAATCTCCTCCTGGCAAGACACATTGGTGGGAACCTACACCTCCTTCAACAGCAAAGAGGAGCAGGACAGGGGGTGTGGAGGCTTTTTGCACTCTCTCTCTTGTCACGGATGAGCAGGACACGGTTCTCAGGGTTCAGCATTTTTTTTTTTCCTTAAGCAGCTGGAAAGCCCAAATTTTCCTGGGACATGGGATTCAAGCCTAGGCAGATGTAGGTGCATTAGACACTTACTAACTGCAGGTTCTCCTCCTCTTCATCCCCATTACATTTGTTCCAGGCTGTTTTGTACCAAGTCTTGTATTCAGAGGTGTCTTTTCTCCAGTTCTCAGTACCCAAATTACTTTAATTCAGGGTTGTTCTACAACGCTGTTCATATTTAGACATTGCTAACCAGGTGAACCATGAAGTCAAAATGCATGGCCAGACCATCTCAGTTGTGCCTTTGTAGCCACAGAACGTCTACTTAGGTCACATCCTCTGATTAATAAATGCACAATCTAATTCTACCACTTGTTTTTAACATATAATCTGTGGGCTGTCCCTAACGTGCAAAGACAAATTCAGGACAAAAGCTGTGCCTCTCCTATGCCAAGGTCTTCACCTAATCTTCTGCAAGCTGAATGGCAAGGTGAACTTCATGGGAGAGCGTGTGGCCTGGGCAGGTCACCAACAGCTGCAAACACATCAGTACAGACGTCTGGCAACATGTAAGACTGAATTATTAAACTTCTCCTGATTCCTCTTTTTTTTTTTTTTTTTAACACAGTTCAAAGTGTGAGCATCAAGCCCTGGGCACCATTGCTGCCTTGCAGCTTAGGATTCCTGGGCATGGACTTCGTACCACAGCACCAGCTGTGCAAGGAAAGAACAGTGTAAGAAAATGAGTTCCCCATCAGTCAAAAATTAAAGGTGTTTTAACATAGTGGACAGTTAAACGTGACAGAAGCCAAACTGGGAATACAAGGAGTAGAAGTAGTGCCACTGCCTCACTTCCCAGGTTCAGCCCAACCCATTTTCAGAGGCAGCTCCATACCTTTCCTTCAAAAAGTCTTCAAACTCTTTGCAGTTCTTCCTGCCATCGTTCAGATGTTGGATGATGGTGTCGTAGCCAACTGTGCTTGTCAGATCGGTACTCTGAGAACACAAGAACAGGAGTCACGTCACGTCCCTGTTGGTGCAGCCCGTGGCCACTGCCACCTCTAGCACCATTTGCACAAGCGATGGCTCAGCTGGGAGCACATGTGCAAGTGCGTCTTTATGAAATAAGATCTTTTTCTTTTAGGGGTGGGAGAGGCTCCAGAATGAGAACAATGGTGGCAGTTTGGGGCAGGGTGCTTCCATGACTTTCAGAAACCAGAAGAGCTCAGTTGTACCACATCCTATTGCTCCCCCCTTGCCTAAGCACAGTTGGCCCCACACCACATGGCAGCTCCTCCTAGGAGCTCAGCTGTCAGCTCTAACTGAATGAAGCCAAACCCTAAAAACCCTCCAAGCCCCGAGATACAGCCCATCTTACTACTGTCCCTCCCAGTTTTCTGCAGACATGGAGATGGATCTTTGTTAGCATTGACTTGCACTGTTCTGGGCATCACCCTCACGTCTGGCTGTAGGAGCCTACATCTGGGCGGGAGGTGAATTTAGCAGACCTTCCTGCATGGGATTGCTCAGCTATGGGCTTCCCTCGCCACCTCCACAGCAATGTATGGATGCCCCCAATGACCGCTGCTGCAACAGCCTTCTCTCTGGCGCAGGGTTGCCACTCACGTCAATTCGAAGCACCACTGCAAAGATCATTTCCCTAAGTACCAGGTCCTCCCCCACCACTGCTCTATGCCCTCCAACACATCACACGGGGCTTCTTCACTCCCCACAAAACATCACAGCCCTGGAGAGGTGCTGCCTCCACCACCCATGGGGCCAGGTCCCATCTTCCAACCCCGGGCTCTCAGCCCTGCCGTACCTCTCACACTTCCCATAAGCTGCTGGAGGATCAGTGTTTTCCTTCAAATTACTGCTTAAAAACATATCTTGTACTGATACTTTTTAAAAAGAAAAAAAAAGAAAGACATGCAGCAATGATGTAGGTGGGCTAGGGTGAAGGTTGACTAACTTTACCCCATTCTTTCCTCATACTCATGCCTGGAAGCACCGTAGGACAAAAAATGGATTTTTGCCTTATGACTGTTCAGGATTTACCGCCCTTGAGACCTGGGCCAAGAGCAGGGCTCCCAAGTGCTATGATAATACAAAGAGACACGCTGACCATGAGCAATCCTTCTCTGGAAGAAGCCTGAAGCAGACGCATGGAGCTGAGCAAAAGGTACTACCTGTCATCTTCTGCAAAGAGGGCCAGCCGGTGTTGCACAGAACAGCACATACGGGAGCAAAAAATACAGGGAAATTTTGGGAAAGAGGCTGCAGCAAGGAAGCAATGGTAGAAGCAGATATGAAACTCAGGGAAAGGAAGCAAAAGCCACGAACAGTTATTAAGAAGCTTGAAGAGGAATGTCAGGATGGAGAGATTCAGGAAATAGTTCGAAGCCAGGATGAGAGTACGCAGGGAATTGGCATGGAAGCATGGGCAGCAGCAGAAGAGGGGATTTCTCAGGAGTCCATACCTGGTGCAGAAACAAGGAGGAACAGGGCTGGTATTTGTGATAAATGAAAGATTTATTATGTGGACTTCCCTAAGGAATCAAGGACTCGAACGTCAATGGCCAGAAAGCAAGAAGTGAAGTGGAGATCTGGTGGAGTGTGACCTGTAGGAAGTCCCCAGGCATCCCAGACCAGCTTTGCTCCATCCATGGCAGGCACAGAAAGAGAGGACCATGGAGCAGGAGCTAAGCAGAAACCAAAACAATTTCTGTTTGTGTATAAAGCACAAGCATCCCTCCAAAAAGGGGTTATTAGTGACAAACCCACAACCGGTTCTCAGTTTGCGTTGTATCTTTGCTGATCAGGTCTCTGAAAAAGGAAACAGGCTTGTGCTGAAGTCAGTCTTGGTGACAGTTGCAAAACACAAGAACATCCTAACTTGACTTCCTACCCCCAGTTTCAAAGGAAATAAAATGCATGCAGAGAACAACTGTCAGTCACTGCAAGCCCTGGCAGGGCAGAGGGGTCAGACCCACATTGCTGCCTGTCAGGGGGTGCCCAAAAACTCTGCTGCCAGGGATGCTTGGGCTCGCTGTGCCAAGCAGAAGTGCCTGGGGAAAAATTGGGACGATCCATCAAAAATGTGCACCAAGCTCTTTATTTTATCACTCTTCCTCCTCCAGTAGAAGGATTTGGGTGTTGGTCTCTTCTCCCTGGTAACGGGCGACGGGACAAGGGGAAACGGCCTCAAGTTGTGCCAGGGCAGGGTGAGGTTGGGCATGGGGAACAATTCCTTCCCCTTGGGGCTGTCAGGCACTGGGAGGGGCTGCCCAGGAAGGGGTCGAGTCCCCACCCCTGGGGGGATTTAACAGCCAGGCAGCCGAGGTGCTGAGGGCCAGGGTTTAGTGGTGGGATGGCAGGGGTAGGGGAACGGTTGGGTTTGGTGATCTTAAAGGTCTTTTGCAACCTAAACAATTCTATGATTTTATTATTTCATTCCAGCATGTACGTATTTCCTAAGCACCCAAGGCTGGACCAGACCTCACAGTGCAAGGTGTTATAGGAAACATGGGAGGTAAGAGAAACGGTGGGGTTTTCCAAAATTGCTGCTTCCAGACAGGTGGAGCTCCTGGCCCAGAAGGAGCTGGGCAGGGTTGTATGCCATGAAGCCAGCCTTCACAGCACCCTTCTGGGCAGAGGCTGGCATGGAAAGAATAGAAAGGACCAGCGTGTGGGACATCCTGAAGGCAGGGCTGGCAGGGAGCAATGAAAGAGGAAGGCCAAGACGGCGAGCACAGAGCCACGGGTGCAGAGGACAAGACTTAAAGACATTACAAACTAAGCCAAAGTCAGGTATGGAGGATGAGGAGTTGCACCAAGCCCTCCCCAACCAGGGGGATGCGGGAGGACAAGCGTCTCTCCTCCCACACTGTAGCACACGGCTGTCCTGGTCGTCCCTGCTGGGCAGAGCTCTCAGCCCATGTGCTATTTAGAGGGCAGCCCATGGAAACTAAAACCAGATGATTTCAAGGTGACGAAGCAGCAGCTGATGTTTCCTAAGCCCGTGGGGCTCAGCAGGACATGCCCCCCCCCACTTCCTGATCTGCTGCCCGGGTCTGTGCCATCCTCCCAATGGACTCGATGAGGAGAAGGAATTCTGTGTGCTTGTTGTGATGCTTTGGGTTTTGTTTGCACCTTTTAGTCAAAAGAGGGGCCAAAATGCTCTCGTGGGGATTTGAAGTCACGTGTAGTTTTACAGGTGCCTACAAGGACTGAATGATGAGACCCAAAGCCTTGCTGTCAGGTTACCTGAGATACTCTGCAAGAACAGGCCTGGGGAGAAGCAAGCACGTACCAAGAAAATGATGACAGTGAAAGAAAGGACATGGCAGAGTGAAAGAAGAACAGCAGGTTGCAAAAACAAATGAAAATCCCACGCTTGCTCAATTCGCGGCAATCGCTAGAGGCAGGGCAAGAGGAAACAAACATGACCTTTCCTGTATTCTTATTTTTGCACGTCCCTTTTGCAGCCAGCTGCAGGCAGCACAGGCTGCAGGAGGGAGCATTCAGGGCAACGTTGGCCCTGTCGTGCAGGTTCGGGCATCTCTGGGCAAGCAGGAGCTGCGGTAGGATGCAAAAAGAGCAAACCGCTTTATTTAAGGGAATTTATCATCTTGTGCTGCAACCTGAGAGCAAGAGCGAGCTCAAATGCAGAGAGCAAAGTCGCAATGTGTTTTCCCAATGTGGCGCATCATGAGCACCAGGCCATGAACTTCAGCAGGGACCAGGTTCCAGTGCAGGAAAAAGGACAGACACACACACCCCACCAAAGAAACCAGAACTAAACCAGTCCCCAGACCAGGCCTGGGGCACAGCCCCGCCGCCTCAGCAGAGCAAGGGTGGGCTGCAGCTTATCTTCACAAAGAAATTCGGGGGTCAGCATTCACGACCAGCTGCGTTTCAGAGCTGGAAGCTGCAATACCGAAAATGGCTCAGCTTTTGGGGACTTCCGTTATTTTTTAGACTTTGTCCCATCAATGGGAGCATCCCTCCCCTGCAACATTACCAAAATCTCCCCTTTCCCATTGGGCTGTCCTGACCAGTGCGAAATCGCTGGCTTTGGCAAAGAAGAGTTCTCCTTCCCTTTTTGGCTTAAGCAGAATTAAAGACGAAAAATTGCAGAAGGAAGTTTACGCATTCTCACAGCACTTAATAGCAAACCAAAGCTGAGTGAGAGGCCCTCTGCCACCTCGTCTACATTTGTTTTTTTCTGCCCATCTCTTGTTACCCCCCTCCCTCCCCAGCCCTCGCAGATGACGCAGAGTCACCAGTAGGTGACGCAGAGACTGCTTGGGGTGGCAACTGCCTTTTCCATGGGCTAAACAACCGCAGCAGGGCCTCGATCTCTCCACTGAGTCACGTCCATCAGGTTCCCGACCAGCCAACACCCCAGATGCCTGCCAGGGCATCGGTCAGGGGGCAGTTGGAGCACACGGGCTTCGGAAAGGGAAAAGCCAAGCAAAATTCCTGGCAACACCAACAGTTTTGGGCTCAGCAAAAGGACAATTCAGTAAATAGATGTGTTTGCTATAAAAGGCACCAGGCAGGCATGAGTGCTCCATGCAACGTCCCAGCTCCTCCTCGCCTTTGGGGCTTGGAGCAGCTCCTGCCCCAATATTTTCTCCCACCAAGCCTTCTCCTCCAGGATCCTCCTACAGAAAGCACTGCACCACAGCAGGATAGGAACAAGCCGGGCAGCGCTAGCCAAAGCCAGCCTCACGGCAAGGACCTCTTCTTCAATCCAGCATGCCACGGAAGCAGGACAAACCAGGTCTACTCGGCTCTCTGGCACCACAGTTAATCCCCCCGCTTGGGGGACGCTGCCACCACCCTCGCACCCCTCCCCTCCTGCACATTTGCAAAGCAAAGGGAGCACCGTGGAAACTTCTTGGGCAACAAAAAGCTGAGAAACAGCTGCCAGACACAAAGGTATTTTCCAAGCCCGGCTCAACGCCTGTATGGGATTGACATATTTGACAGCGCTGTGCCAGGTAACAACGCTAACGATGCTGGGCGAGCCGCACATTCTGCATTTATCCCTCATATTCCACAACACACAGCAGCCACAAATCTGGTGCCTGCTCCTCGCGGAGTCCCACACGCCTTTGCCCAATCCCGCAAAACGGGAGCTGCTTCCCAGGCATCGCCTGGGAAACCCTGAGCACTGTCATTCACAGATGGGGATTTTCAGCCCCAAAAGCCAAAATTTTGTACTTTGTTTCCTGATTGTCAGTACCTGGAACGAAGGGCCACACACCAAGAGGAACTAAGCAGCCACAGCGCCCATGCTCTGCGGCAAATAAGTGGGTATTCAGGACTTCTCCATTCCCAAAAGCACAGTTCAGTCTCAAAGGAGTAAATTGCGGTTTTCCCCGAACCGTGCCGTTTTCTCCGCAGCCCGGCAGCCGCGCACCGGGGGACCTTTTGCTAGCCCAGTTCGGCATCAAAGCGCCCTTTTTGGCCACGGTGCCTCCAACCAGTTCACCGGTGATAATTAACATTGACAAACGCTCAGCCTGGCAGCTCTCCGGGTCGCTCCGGCTGCAGGGGACAAGGTGCCCAAGCCGCGGCTCTCCGGGCACGCCTGGGCGAGCGGCGCCGGCGGCGGGGGGG